TGATTTGAGGGCCCGGGTTGTAGCACGTGGCGAATAACCCTGACCAGTTCTTCCCTTTCTTTTCGATCCGTTGACCCATGTCAACATGCATTTACTGAGATTACATTTATACACTTTAACTGCTATCGCACAAGTATTTTTCCTTGTCAATATCTATGTAATATAGTACTGCAAACGTTACACTTCAACATAATACTATTCAATTAATTTATTTTTTAGTTACTTTTAAATAAACTCTTTATGCGAGTGCCGTCCCATTAGAGTTCTAAAATCCAGACAGGTTGCTAGTATTATAATTCTGCCCAGTTTTTTCAAGATTTTAGTTATTGAGCCAAAAAAGTATTCGTGCTACATAGCAGATAACATGTTATAACGATACGTATGGATCTACAGCTCATTAAAATCCAATATCTAATTATGCCAATAGTTAGAAGTATTTTGAATGGAAAATGTGAACATTGCAATTTATATAATACATCGCTAACTTGGTGTCAGACATGTGATCCTCAGAGAACTGCACAAGGATGGACAAGTGGAAATAAAAATATTGATAATTGCATTAAAGAAGTTCAACTTGAAACCACAAAATATGAAAATGTGATCGAATGGGTTCCTTTTAATAAATTAGCTAATATTCAAAAGCGTGATGATGAATTATTAGCAACCTGGCTAGATGGTATACGAATTCCTGATTATAAGGATGGATACATACAATCACGTACGCCACTATGTATAATTACACTTAAAACATTGGATAGTTCTCAGAATTTAATGAATATGTTGGAAAAGGTAAAATAAAAACTTATTTATTTTATTATTGGGTATCTTTATTTTTATATACTTATAAATTATATTCACCATTTTGATAAGTTCAAAAGCTATATAAAGAATGGCAATCTTAAAGCATATGGACTAACTCAAGACACAGCTACTAATAAGTATATGTTAGTATTCGATGGATTTCATTCCAAAAGAAGTATTCAGAATGGAAAATGTGCAGTTTGTAAACGATAAAACACATCTAAGGCTTGGTGTCAAGCGCGCGATCCTCAGAGAACAACTCAAGGATGGACAAGTGGAAATAAGAATATGACGATTGCGTTAAAGAATTTCAACTTAAATCTACAGAATATGAAGATGTGATTGAATGGATTCCTTTCAACAGATTAAATAATGTACAAAAGAATGGTGATGAATTTTTAGCAACATGGTTAGATGGCATACGAATAAGTTTTGCAATTAACACGCAATCACGTACTTCGCCATGTATAATTGACCTTAAACCATTGCATAATTCTCAGAATTTAGTGGATTTGTTGGAAGAGGTAAGTATTCCTATATCTATTTCATTATTGGGTATCTTTATATTTATGTGCTTATAAATTATATTTATTTAATAAGCTTAAGAATTGTATAATGGATTACAAATTTAAAGTATATGGACTAACTCAATACATAGCTACTAATGAGTATATGTTGGTATTTAATAAATTTCATTATAAAAGAAGTCAAGAAAATGGAAAATGTGCATATTGTAATCAATATAACACGTCTGAAGCTTGGTGTCATTCATGTGACCCTCAGAAAACAGCTCAAGGATGGACGAGTGGAAATGAAATTATTGATGATTTCCTTAAAGATTTTCAATTTAAATCTACAGAATATGAGAATGTGATTGAATGGATTCCTTTCAACAAATTAAATAATATGCAAAAGAATGGTGATGAAATTTTAGCAACATGGTTAGATGGTGGACGAATAATTTCTGCAGATAATATGCAATCACGTACTTCGCCATGTATAGTTGACCTTAAAACATTACATAATTCTCAAAATTCAGTGAACTTGTTGAAAGAGGTAAAATAAATTCTATAATTATTTTATTTGAGCATCTTTATTATTATGTACTTATAAACCTATTTAACAAGTTTAAGAATTGTATAATGGATTACAACTTTAAAGTATATGGACTAACTCAAATAGAGCTACTAATGAGTATATGCTAGTGTTTGATAAATTTAATTCTAAAAGAAATTATAAGAATGGAAAATGCGTACATTGTAATCGATATAACACATCGACAGCATGGTGTCATTCATGTGACTCTCAGAGAATAGCTCAAGGATGTATAAGTGGAAATAAAATTATTGATGATTGTATTAAAGAACTCCAACTTAATGCCACAGAATATGAAGATGTAACCGAATGGATTCCTTTTAATAAACTAAGTAATATTCAAAAGAATGGCGATAAATTTTTGGCAACTTGGTTAGATGGCATACGAATGACTGTGCATAATTATAAGAATGGATACACACAATCACGTACGCCACCATATACAATTGACCTTAAAACATTGCATAAACATCATAATTTGATGGACTTTTTGAGAGAGGTAAGGTAAATCTATATTTTATTATATGCAGCTTATTTTAATTTACTTATATTTTTTTATATACATTTTTAAAAAATGCATAAAGGATAGTGAACGTAAAGTATATGGACTAACTCAAAACACAGCTACTAATGAATATATGTTGGTATTTGATAAATTTCATTCTAAAAGAGGCTACCAAAATGGAAATTGTGCACATTGTAACCGATATAACACATCACCGCTTGGTGTCAAACATGTGACCCACAGAGAACAGCTCAAGGATGGACAAGTGGAAATGAAATTATTGATGATTTCCTTAAAGAATTTCAACTTAAATCTACAGAATATAGGGATGTGATTGAGTGGATTCCTTTCAACAAATTAAATAATATACAAAAGAATGGTGATGAATTTTTAGCAACATGATTAGATGGCATACGAATAATTTCTGCAGATAACATGCAATCACGTACTTCGCCATGTATAACTGACCTTAGAACATTGCATAATTCTCAGAATTTAGTGAGCTTGTTGAAAGAGGTAAAATAAATTCTATAATTATTTTATTTGGGTATCTTTATTATTATGTACTTATAAACCTATTTAACAAGTTTAAGAATTGTATAATGGATTACAAATGTGGATTAACTCAATACATAATTACTAATGAGTTTATGTTAGTATTTGATAAATTTCATTCTATAAGAAGTTATAAGAATGGATCATGTGCTCATTGTCATCTATATAACATGTCTGAAGCTTGGTGCCAGAGATGTGACCCTCATAGAACAGCTCAAGGATGGACAAGTGGAAATAAAATTATTGACGATTGCATTAAAGAATTTCAACTTAAATCTACAGAATATGAGGATGTGATTGAGTGGATTCCTTTTAACAAATTAAATAATATACAAAAGAATGGTGATGAATTTTTAGCAACGTGGTTAGATGGATACGAATCATTTCTGCAGATAACTCGCAATCACGTACTTCGCCATGTATAATTGACCTTGAAGTATTGCATAATTCTCAGAATTTAGTGGACTTGTTGGAAGAAGTATGATAAATTCTATATCATTTTATTATTGTGTATCTTAATTTTTATGTACTTATAAATTATATTTACCTATTTAACAAGTTTAAGATTTGTATAATGGATGACAAATTTAAAGTACATGGAATAACTCAATACATAACTACTAATGAGTATATGTTGGTATTTGATAAATTTCATTCTAAAAGAAGTTATAAGAATGGAATATTTGCTCATTGTCATCTATATAACACTTCTGAAGCTTGGTGTCAGAGATGTGACCCTCAGAGAACAGCTCAAGGATGGACAAGTGGGAATAAAGTAATTGACAATTGCCTTAAAGAATTTCAACTTAAATCTACAGAATATGAGAATGTGATTGAGTGGATTCCTTTTAACAGATTGGATAAAATTCAAAAGACTAAAACTGATTATATATTTCAAGCAACCTGGTTAGATGGCAAACGATCAATCTTAGATCGCAAACAATCACGTATATCCTCATATTTGGTTAAACTTGAAGTTTTGCCTGATCCACAGAATTCATTAGTTCTTTTGAAAGAAGTAAGCTAGAATATTAGATTATAATTAATTCATATTCTGACATACTGGCATTAACGTTGTTTATATCTTTATTCATTTGCAAGCTTACTTATCAAATACAAGTAGAGAGAATTAAAATATAGGAATAACAGAATTTATGACTGGCGAATATATGATGACGTTTGAAAGTACAGTTAAAAACAACGATAGTGATGTGTTTGCTTCTAAAAGACACAATTGGAATGGCAAATGTACAAATTGTAACCGATTTAATACTTCAACTAATTGGTGTCAATCATGTGATCCTTATAGAATAACTCGGGAATGGGCAAGTAATGAAAATATTGATACCGTAAATGGTATATAAAAGACCCGGGTCTGTTACATTCCACCGATTTTAAAACCGATAATAGACCCGTGGGTCTATTGTACGGAAATGGGTCTGATAATCGGGGGGATTTTATGTGGCGGGGGTCTAGTACCAGGTATATTAAGCACTATCGACATTTAAGTAATACGAATTACATTTTATTTTTTAGCTACTCGAATGTTTTATAATAAATAACACGATATAAGAATAAATTTATTATTATTTGAGATGAACTTGGGCCTGGTTATATTTTATTTAGACAAATTGTAAGAAATCCGATATTAAAAGCAAAACATACAATGGCGGCAAAAAAAAAAAAAAAGTAAATTAATTACATGTATTAAAAATAAATAAATAAATAAATTATAAAAAAAAAACAATAAAAAAAATGAACAAAAATAAAATAAAAAATAATAATACGTATAAAAGAAAACCATTGGGCACAGCGTTGTTACTTTATAGAAGCCAAAAATATGCAAGAAATTTGAGAAATTTGGGAGAAAATGAAACAAATTGCTTTTTTGAGTTATAAGATAGAGCCAAAAGATATATATGAACCGACTTTTGACCGAGAAAAAGGAGACCGCGACATAAAAGTGCAATATCGAACTTGTAAGTTTTTTTTTTTTTGTTTGTTAAATATTTTTTTTTAGAGTATTAATCTAATTACTTTATAAATTTGATTAAAAATTAGAACCTCCAAATGTGAATCTTACGGCTTTGTGTTGTACATACAGCTATTCGCTAGTAATTCATATAATTTCTCAAAGTATGATTATAGGAATAGTGCAGATATTAGATTATGGCATAATTGACTTATAAGCATAATTAACATGTGTATTTGTTACATATCGATATATAATATAATTCAAAAAGAAAAAAAAAAATCCGTTTTATATTTTTATCATCAGCAAGTTTTTTCTGGCTAAAAGACAATAAGTAAATTTTATTACTTTATTACTTCATTTTATTAATATATTATTAACTAATATAGATTTGAGCATAGTGATATTATCTGCATTAAAAATGGGAAAAAATAGAGCAAACTTAGAGCAAGCTACTGGCCCACATCCTAAATATCCACTTTTGGAAGATGAACTTAAATCTTGGATTAGATCTTTACGTGCATCTCAAAAAGTTGTGTCTCAAAATATGGTTAGAACCAAAGCAAAGCAACTCGCAAATCAATCACGTTTTACTTCACTTTATCCAATAATTAATGAGTGCAAATAGAGTGACAAATGGCTTTCAGGTTTTATACATCAAAATAAATTTAGTAATAGGTGTCATACTACTGTTGCACAGAAGTTGCCAGAAAATTTAGAGCCTTTAAGAAATAAGTTCTTGAATTATGTTGTATTTTATTATATGCATTACAATTATCCTCTTTCACTTATCGGAAATATGGACAAGACACCATTAGCATTTGATGTGCCTAGCAATTTTACAATTAAAGAAACTGGTGCTCATACTGTTGGGATTTGTACAACTGGGTTTAAAAAATTAAATTTTACAGTTGTTTTAAGTTGCTTAGCTGATGGAACAAAATTGCCCCCTGTAGTAATTTTTAAATTAGTCAATGTGCCAAGACAAGTATTTTCACCTGGTATTGTTATACAAACCAATAAAGAAGGGTATATGAATTCTGATAAAATGATCTACTGGATTGAGAATATTTAGAACTGTAGAGCTCCCTTGTCTGTTAATCCTCGTTCATTTCTGGTTTTGGATTCATTTCGTGACCATCTTACAGATCTAGTTAAAAACTGGTTTAATGAAAAAAATACTAATATTGCAGTTATTCCAGGTAGGCTTACTAAGAAATTACAACCATTAGACATATATATCAATTAGTCTTTCAAAGACAAGGTAATAATAGAATTTATATATGAGTGCTGTCAAGGGAAAGCCTGTCATCGTGCTTTCAATTATATTTTGTACCAGACATAATCTATTTAATTAATTAGGGATTGTGTCTAGTGCAAAATATAGTTAAAAGCCTGATGACAGGTTTCCTTTGACGGTATATATATTGTTTTTTTTATTTATTATTATAAAAAAAAAAGTTACACAATTATATTATTATTATGTATTTAAGTATTGCAAATACTATCTCGATTGGATGAATGAGGAAATCAAGAAACTTATACCTACAGGTCGTATTCAACAACCAACTTACAATTTGGTGGCAAATTGGATAAAGCTAGCATGGGACCAAGTCGATTCTAACCTTATCAAATGGTCATTTAAGTGTTGCGGCATCTCTAACGCTCAAGATGGATCTGAAGAGAATGTAATGTTCGATTATAATTGGGTAGCTAACCCAGAATCTCGAAATAATAATGGTGGTTACGTCTACGCTGATGCGGATACTACAAGCAATAGTGAAAGTGTCATCAATTTAACCCAAAATGATAATGATGTTAGTGATAACGAAGAAAATGGTGGTAGCAATGGCTTGGATGAAGACGACGGATGTGATGATAATTGTGAGGATGATAATGAAGATGACAGTGATAGTAATAGCTTGAGTGAAAAAAACAAAGGCCCAAATGAAGTTAGTAACTTGGATAAGCAAGAAGACCATGAAGAAGACACATATTATAAAGATGAAGCAATAGAATATATCAATTTATGGGATTAGAAACCTCAAAATTAATAAGAGGCAATGGTCTGTTCAATTTATCGTTTAATAAATAATATCATGAATCACTTGCGAATTTGAAAAAAAAAAAGATCGAATAATGTATTGGTTTTATGTAATCATTAAGTAATTTATTGTAAAATGGGTAAATATGAAATTTTATGAAATTTTTAATCTATTGAAAATTGCAAAATAAAGTAATATACGTTCTTTTATTCATGTAACTCAAATAATATTATCAATAGTTGTTATCGATATAGTAAATAGGTCGAAAAAGATAAAAATAAAGCATTTATTTATTGTCAGAAATCAGCAATATGTGAAATGCTAATGGAATGAACGAAGTTAGGTATTGTTATAGGAATAGAATTGGATGCGAAAATAAAAGAAATAAGGAATGCTAATAAATAAATGGAATTGAAGGTAAAATAAAGCCTATTAATAGAGATAGTGGAGATGCTAATAGAATGAATGAAGTCGGATATTGTTATAGAAATAGAATTGGTAATGAAAAATATGGTATTCATAATGTCAAAACACAATGAAGCGATGTTTAACTTGCATAAGCGAAATTTCTCAATAAATATAACAATGCTTACATGATTGATAATTTACTATCCTAAGAGATGTGAAGAAGCATATCATGCACAAATACAAAAACTACCAATATACCTAGAGTTTATAAACTTTAAATCAGACAATACATTGGTATCGAAAAGATATGAAAAGCCTGTTACACTTATATTTTTTTTTCCCTCCCTGTGTCAATACATCAGAGATCGTTGTAGAATGCTATATATTTTTTTCCTTTTGTTGGATGACAGATATTATGCCTAGTATCATACCTGGATCTTTTATTTTTTTTATCCTATTAATATACCCGAGTCTTTTATCATTCAAATCCCAATAATATACCCAGGTCTTTTACTTTTTACAAAAATCTCAACCTATATTGTAGACCCAGGGATAATACCTGGTGGGTCTACTATTATGGAGAGTCTTTTATATAGCCATTTACGGTAATTGTATTAAAGAATTTCAATTTAATGCTACTGAACATAAAAAAGCAATTGAATGAATTCCGTTTGAAAAATTAAATATCATAAAAGAGATTGGCAAAGGAGAATTTGGTACTGTATTTTTAGCCAATTGGCAGCAGAACACTTCACAATCTATTAAGGTGGCACTCAAGACTTTACCTGGATCAAAAAAAAATTCTAATGATTTTCTAAGAGAAGTAGGCTATAGTTTAATTAGTTATCTATAATGTGTCATATTTCAATTTACATATATTTTATTTTTTAATTAGTTTAGAAACCACATGAACTGTAGATTGAGTGGCAGCAGACTCGAAGTATATGGACTTACTCAAAATACAGAAACGAAAGAATATATGATAGTTTTTCAATATGCTAATAAAGGAGATCATCATAATTACCTAATATTGAATTTTGAAAGACTTACGTGGGAAGATAAATTATCATTATTAATTGATATTTCAAAGGATTTAACTAGGATTCATAAAGCAGGATACATTCATTGTAATATTCACTGTGGCAACATTTTGCAGCATAAAGAGGGATCATGGCTTGGTTCGTTAAAATCATATATTGCAGATTTAGGATTATCCCGAAAGAATGAAGAATGCATTTTAAAAAATGGAATCTATGGAGTTATGCCTTATATTGCACCTGAGATTTTACAAGATCAGAAATATACACCAGCAGCCGATATATATAGTTTTGGCATTATAATGGCAGAGATGATTACCGGAATACAACCATTTTATGGACGTTCATTTGATGCTAAACTTGCATTAGAAATTTATTGTGGAAAGAGACCTGAATTTGCTTTAAGAACTCCTAATTACTATATTGAATTAGCAAAATTGTGTATGAATTTAGACTCACAACAATGACCTACTGCTAAAGCAATTCATAATAAACTTTCTGAATGGTATAGCTTTGTAAAAGAAATTGATGAATTTGATAAACTTGATGAACTTGATGAACTGGGAGAATCTGACGAATCTAATAAAAAATTACAAATAATTAAAGAATTTATAGCCACTGGTATGATAATTCCAGAGCTTTTAACAGCTTTAAAGGATTATCCTGATACTGTATATACGAGCAGGTTTATTGATACACATGATATTGCTCAACGTCGTAAAGAAAGAAGCAGCCAATTTAATATAAAAGATGAATTAGATGATTATACACATAATGGCATTTTTAATTATTGTATTATTTAACTCCCTTCAATCTTTGTCTGCATGTCATAGATTATTTCCAATAAAGTTTAAGATTAGACGTTAAACATCATATTTATTGGATGCGACCTTACTCGTGATCCGCCATATTTTCTTTTAGGTTAAAACGGAAAGGATTTTCATCAAAAAAATTTTATATTATCTTGATCTTGATCTTTTTCTTATATATATCATGAGCAGTGTTGCGCAGGTCTGATTTGATCCGATTTGATCTAGAGCATGCCCCTAAAAAATTTTTATCATATTCGGGTTGTATTTATAAGATTCAATAAGTTAAATTGACTTTTGATTCCATAATTCGATATATGCATTGCTATGAAACTTTATTTTGAATTTGCATACTAAAAATACATTTACAGTAGTAAACTTTATGTTCATCGCTCACGTGACTTATTAGTTAAACCTAATAATGATAATATTTATTACCATTTTTTTTTATAGCATATCTTGAATATGTACAGTACCAGTTATTATTGAGTAATTAGCTATAGTGAGCAGCACTGTTTAAATTCAATCAGACAAACCTCCGTCTACTTATTGTATATATGTACATTTGTAGAATCTCTTTAAATGAAACTTTTTACCTTGTGCTTTGTCAATTGTTCTGTTCTTTATAGGTTTCTATTCTTCTGATTTGTTAAATTGTAAATATAACTAAATTGTAAATAAGTACAATATTACATAAGATTTAGCAGAAAAGTGTTATCATTATCTTTTTTTTTTTAATAAGGTATGGCTTAGGGTAGATTATATAATAGTTTCTTTTATTTCAAAAAAAATTTTTTTTAAACTATGCAATATACTTAACCATATTCAGTAAGTATGAAAATTG